GGATTGATAATGGATTATACAAAGAAAAAGAATATTAGGAAGAGGCAAATGATTAAAACTTTAGAAGATGATTATAAAAAATTGGAAAAAGAATTACAGAGAACGCCACAGAAAAAAAGATATTAAATTTAAAATGGACATAATCAAACATAAAATGGATCAAACAGAGAAAGAAGAATTGGCGAAAAAAATCAGAAGCGCTAAACAGAACTACTTTGAGGATGCAAACAGGCCAGGTAGATGGTTAGCATACAAACTGAGAAAAGAGAAAGAATCAAGGAGAATACTACAGTTAATGGACGAACAAGGTCAAGTTTGTCATGGTAATAAGGAGAAAAAGAGAATTATTCAAGACTTTTATGCACAATTATACAAGCAGGAGGATTTTGATGAGGGGAAAATCAAACAGTATTTACAAAATGCCAACCTACCTAAGATACCTGATGAAACTGGGAAAATGTTAGAAAATCCTATAACAATGATGGAATTAACTGAAGCACTTAATAGGCAGAATAATGGGAAAGCACCAGGACCAGATGGTTTCCCGGCAGAATTTTATAAAACATTACAAGAATCGTTGAGTATTTCATTGTTAGAAATTATGAATGAAGCTATGATAAATAAGAAAATACCTAAAACATGGTCAGAAGCTTATATTACGCTTATCCCAAAAGAAGGGGCTGACCCATCACAAATTAAGAACTATAGACCTATTTCTTTATTGAATGCAGATTATAAAATATTTGCTTCAATTTTGGCAGAAAGGCTTAAAAAATACCTAAATAATTTTATCCATCCTGATCAGAATGGATTTCTACCAAAGAGACAAATTAAAGACAACATGAGAGTAATTTTGGACACTTTGGAATACTATGAGGCACACCCTGAAAAACAAATGGCTTTGATATTCTTAGATGCCCAAAAGGCATTTGATAACGTGAATTAGAGATTTATGTTATTATTATTGGAACAGATGGGCTTTGCTAGAAAATTTATTCAAGCAATAGAAGCCATATATTACAAGCAAACAGCAAAAGTGATGATAGACGGAGAATTTACAGACCCTATCAATATTAAAAAAGGCACAAGACAAGGATGTCCATTATCCCCTTTGTTATTTGTATTGACTTTGGAAGTGTTAAATAGAAATATTAGAGAGGATACAAATATAAAAGGAATGAAAGTTAAAAAGGAGGAATTTAAATTGCAAGCCTTTGCGGATGACTTGGTCTTTATTCTGGAAGACCCTCTAGAGACAGCTTTAAAATTACTGGAAAAGATAGAGACATATGGTGAGATGGCTGGCTTGAAAATAAATAACGACAAAACAAAGATTCTGACAAAAAATATGTTATTAAGACAAAGAGAAGAGTTGGCAGACCTATTGAAAATTCAAGTTACGAATAAAGTTAAATACTTGGGGATATTTTTGACGTCAAGATGTACTACACTGAAAGAGAATAACTATATTAAACTTAAACAGCAGATAGCATCTGACTTGAAAAAATGGGAAAACCTACAATTATCTTTGATAGGTAGAATTTCAACAATTAAAATGAATATTTTACCCAGAATTTTATATTTGTTTCAAACAATACCAATTAAATTAGGTAAGGATTATTTTGAAGAATTAAATAAAATTGTGTTGAAGTATATATGGCAAGGTAAGAAAGCGAGAATAAAACTAAAACTTTTACAGGATGCTAGAACTAGAGGAGGATTTGGCCTTCCTAATTGGGAGTTGTATTATCAAGCTGCAAACTTAATGTGGGTTAAAGAATGGATAACGTTAAGAAAGTCTAGATTACTGGCATTGGAAGGACATGACTTATTATTGGGTTGGCATGCTTTTTTATGGTATAAGGGAACTAAATCGCAGGGTTATTTCAGAAGGCACTATATACGGGAATCGTTATGGTTGAATTGGGAGAAAATTAAGAAACAATGTTATTTGAAAATACCAGTTTGGTTATCAACTATCGAAGCTTTTTCCTATCCCATAATTTATAAGAAGGAACAAACAGTTAGATATGGGGAAATACTGGATGAAAAGGGTGAACTTAAAACGATGCAAAAGTTAGAAGAACAAGATATAAAGATGAATTGGTTTTCATATGCGCAAATACACTCAAGGTACCTTAAAGATTCTAAAACAGAAGGATTTTATGATAAATTGACTGATTTAGATAGGATTTTGACAGGTTCTGATGAAAAAGTGATTAAAAAACTATATAGTTATTTGTTGGAAATTAAATTAGAGGAAGAACAAGTCAAAGAAACAATGATTGTTTGGGGGAAGAACTTTGGATATGGGATTGATTTAGAGAAATGGCAAAAATTGTGGTCTCAAAATTATAAAATGACAATGTCAGTAGCATATAAAGAAAATTTGTATAAGATGTTTTACAGGTGGCATTTCCCCCCGACAAGAATAGCAAGAATGTTCAAGAACAAATCTGAAAAGTGCTGGAAATGTCATCAGATCCCTGGCTCATATTACCATATGTGGTGGACTTGTGAGGAGGCCAGGAAATACTGGACTAGAATTTGCATATGGTTGGAAGAAATGACAAAAGAACATATAGATTTGAAACCAGAGATTTTTCTATTGGGAATCTTACCTGATACATTTAATAAAAACTTAAAGTATTTGATTGTAAATGTGTTAACAGCGGCTAGGATTGTATTTGCTAAAAATTGGAAGAGTGAGAAAATACCATTAGAGGAAGAAATTATTAAGAAAATACTGGAATGTGCTGAAATGAGTAGATTGACATTTGAAATTAGAGAACAAGAAGATAAACAATTTTATGAAGTTTGGGATCTTTTTTATCAATGGTTAGATAATACAATATAATAATAGAATATTTAGAAACCTAGGAAATAATGAATATACATTTTTTTTTTGTTTTGATAACATTTTTAGAATATTTTATTAAGATAGATTTGGTATGATTTTACGATCTGTTATAAAATAAATTAACTAAATTATAGTTATCTCGCTTAAGTATGAATTAGTAAAATTATAGTCAAATGATTGTTTAATAATGATATTAGGATATATAATTGTTGATTGATAATATGAGTTATTATGTAACATAATTATTATGATGACTATGAAATGGATGCAGAAAAAGGAGTGGTAAACCAACCGATACACTGTCTGTAAATTTATGAAGAATGATGATGTTTTTATGTTATGTTTTATGTTTTATGTGTTTTTATTTGTTGTTAAAACCAATAAAACTTTTTTTAAAAAAATTTAAAAGAGGAAGAATCTGTAAGCCTGCAGAATTTTGCTCATGCTGTGGCAGCTCCATTGCTTTTTCTTGGGTCTATCTAGCATATATCATTATGTTTTATAATCAGTATATAGCTGTCCCTCTTGTGTTTTATTTACTTGAAACTAAGTATGTAGCTCATCTATCTGAATTAGGACTACATTTTTCATTGCCAAAGATTCATTTTTCCCCTTTTTTGAAAAGAAGGAAAAGTTTGCAAGCTTCCTGTTCTGATCTTTAAGGAACTAAAATATAGATGAGATCAACATGTTGCATAGTAATATATGGCAATAGGATAAAGCAGATGTCAAACTGTTACATGTCTTCGACAATTATGGAAACAGTTGAATTGTCTTCATCTCAATAGCCTTTAAGTTTAAGGCCCCATTGTTCAGCTACCAGCCATTTATTTTATGGATAAATATAGAAATCTAAGGTACTCTACATGCGGCTAGCATTGAATATGACATGGAAGTTACAATACATCCAGAATGTAGGGACACATGGAATGTTGGGTGTTCCTAGACTCACCTATAAGCTGCAATGGCTCTCATTTTTCTTCTGGGTACAAGTCAAAGTGCTACTTATTATCTTTAAAGCCCTACATGGCATGGTTATCTGCAGGACTACCTCTCTCTGCCCAGTCCACCAGAGTGGATAGGATCCCTTCCCTTAAATACTGACATCTTGTGGGAACTTGGAAGCATGCCTTTTCTACTGCAGGCCCTGCCCCATGGTACACCCTCCCCCCTGAGAGCCAAAAGGCACTACCCCTCTATCTTTCTAGAGAACACTTAAATCCTGGTTCTTTCTCTAGGCAATGGGATAAGGTGAGGCCAGGATAGAATGAAAATGTGGGTGCATTAGAGAAGTAAGGCTACAGTGCCAGATTTTTCTGTTTTTATTTTTATTGTGTTGGTTTACATACTGTTTATATACTTTTATACTGTTTTATTGGTTGTAAGCCCCTCAGAATTGTTTTAAGATGGACAGCTTTATAAGTGATTTAAATTAAATAAATCAATAAATACATTTTTGTATTTGTATGTAGATACAGATATAAATTAATGCATGATGGCAGTGCTTAACCTTTTGTCACAACATATGTAAGTAGTGGGCACTGGGCCAGATCCATTTGTCAGTAGCAGGATTTGGGATATCTTGCCTCAAAGGACTCTAACATTAATGAAATTGAAAATAGCATTTTGAATAAAAGCTTGGGGATTGACTAAACACATTGGAGTTGGCAAGCTTAAAATATCACATCATGCTTATCACATCACTTAGCCCAATATCTTTTGTGTATGTGTGTGTGTGCATGCATGCCTTTGAGTCAGTGTTGACACCTGGCAATTGCCTGGACAAATTCGTAGAGTTTCCTTGGCAAACTTTTCAGAAATGATTTATCATTACCTTTCTAGGACTGAGAAAAAATAACTAGCTCAGGGTCACCTAGACGGCTTTGTGCATAAGACAAGACCAAAATTCATAGTCTGGTGCCTTAAACATTATATCAAACTAGTTCCCTTACTTATTACTCCATATTGTATGTACACACCTTGAGTGGTTCATAATAATAATAAAGGGGGATATAACCAAACAAATGAATACACTACTATTAGATTGTTATTCACTTACTCCTGGGGGGAAAGCATCACATATAGTAGGAAAAAATAGGCAATGTTACCTGGTCTTGAATCAATGCACAATTGATTCGACAGGTTTGTGGTTATGTTTTCCAGTCCCTCAAATGATGGCATGTAGAACCAGTAGTCTTTTGATCCAGCCATGATTTCAAGTTCCTCACGATTTGCGTCTTTTATTCCAATGGCATAAATAATAGTTCCTTTCTTTCTGAGTTCATTTGAAGTGCTATCCAGTATTGCCCTATCATGAGATTCTCCATCAGTTATGACCATAAGAACTTGAGGGACCCCTTGGTCTATGCGGCTGCCATTTTCTTTAGTTAAAAGACTTTCTGAGAGCTGAAGAGCCTTTGCTGTGTATGTATCTCCTTTTAAAAGCACGTTGTCCTGAATAAATTTAATGATATCTGATCTTTTGCTATAGGTATTCAGCTTGAACATAATTTCTGGATTATTGGAATACTTTACTGCTCCAAACTGAACATGGTCTTTACCTACATCAGACTTATTTACAATGCCAATTATGAAGTTATTCATGAGAATGTAGTTGGTTTCACCAATACTGCTAGAACTATCAATTACAAAAACCAGATCTAAACGGTTTATCCTTTTGCACTCTGGAAAGAAACAAGAAAAGATAAAGGCATCATTTACAACAAATTCATATTGTCATATATTTTTTCTCCTACATTCATATTTCTTTACAACAAAAAGTGTATGAATTTTAATTAATGTTATATTTACTATAAATAGGTTACCTTGCTGATGTGCTATTGTTTCATTTATTTGAAAAAGAATCTTATTGTTTTATAATTAAAGTTATCATGCAGTTCTACATGCATTTTTACTGAAATGATTAAGATAAATATCATCTGAAATTATCTCACTGATAGTATGGAGATTTGATTTGAAATAGCTTTGAAAAAGTTATGATTGGAATGACTATGCACAATCTGTAGCAATATTTTATCATATTTTCAATTCCATTTTTTTTAGAAAATCAGTATCCAGACTAGAAAAACCTGTTCTATTGTTATGTATTATCAATCAATTTTTTGATGCACTTTAAAAATTAAATGTTAAATTAACTGAGTTTCTATTTTCAATTATTTTATTATTAAGAATGGCATGAATATTTGTGTCACAAGATCATTGGAAAGAAAACTCACTCAACTGTGAGCAGCTTTTGCTATTATGAGCACAAAGGACATTACTAAGATTAAGTAATATGAGATTTTATACCACCTGCTACATTGTACCCTAACCCAACTCTTTTGCCTCATTATTGCTTTTTCTTAAGAAGACAAGACTAACAGATCTTTCCTGCCATATGAAAAAAACATACAGATATGCTCCCTGAAATATTAAGCAGGATTTGTTTTAATCCATTTTTAAATTATAATTTTCCAAAAGATAAAAGAACTCAATAGTGTTCATTTAAATTGTTTAATATATTGTGGCCTTTTTTGAATTCGGCAAATACTGTAATCCCCTAAACATTCTTAATAGAAGTTTTGGTTCCATGTAAATTCATATCTGGCTGAATCTGTTCTTCTAATTATTGATTCACGATCTAATCCAAAAAGAAGATAAATAAAAGTTGTATGTACCTGTTCACTTAGGGACTGCAATATTGCATGATAATTGTCAAATGATAAACTGTCTAACATGGAGAGAGAATGGGTTGTGAAAGCCATTGGAGAGAGGAGTATAAAACCAGGGATGTCATAATTCTTGGCTCAAGAATCTCTTAACAGTTATGCTATTTCACCTCTCATTCTGTTATTATATATTTTATTCTACAATTAGAGCAGTAGCTCACACCAATACCTACCTATCAATTAAAATCTAAGAAGATGGTCTCTGGAGAGAGTCTTTTGTATGCCACTGACAGTGATGGGATTCCAAAATTTTCACTACAGGTTCTGTGGGTGTGGATTGGTGGGTGTGGCTTGTTGATCATGTGACTGGGTGGGTGTGGTCATGTGACTGGATGGCCATGGCCAAGTCAACGTCTCATAGCAGCACAGCACAGCCACAAATTTCAACCCTAACCCTAATTCATAATCCTACCCCTACCCCTATAAGAATGAGGTGTAAAGAATGGCTGATATCTGTACAATTAATAATTGAAAGATAAATACTTAAAATGGAACAATTACCAAACCAAGGGAGTTTGTTACTTTATGCCAGTATTGCCACAAAAATCTTTCCAAGCTAACATTACCTTACATTAGCCCAAGGATTACCTGGACCAACAGTCCCTTATGAAATGAGAGCTACAGCAGAGAGAGAAGACAGGGGATTGAGGGGAAGCCATGTTTAGTCACCTAAGCTTTTTAGACTTTTCATCTTAAAAATGTACTGAAGCTTTTTTCAGCATTCCAACCAAGCAGCACTGTTCTGTGGGAACTTGGAAGGACAGTGCCAGAAACCTCACAGCACCAGAAACCTCAGAAAACAGTGCCAAGAAACTCAAGCCAGCCTTTCCCTCTTTAGGAAAACCAAAAAACACCAGCTGAAAGAGAAAACTCAGAGCAGACAGAGCTGACAATAGAAACAGTTAAGTGGAGCCATGATAAGGAGATTAAGGCTAAAAATAACTCCATTAACCCATTAAGGCAGGAAGACAGGATCCAGGGCAATCATTTTAACTAGAGGCACACAAACAAACCCATCAAGCTGCAGGAGCTTCAAAGGGGAATTAATAATTAAGCCTAAAAGGCTCAAATTCTCATTTCCAAACTGCTTGCAAACCAAGACCCAGCTGTGTCACACAAGCTTTTTGCTTCTTCGTTTTTGTTTCTGTCAACTTTTTGTTTCTTTATTAAAGAATCCCACTGCTGTGGTAAATGTTTAAGAGAGTGGGGATGGGGTCCACTGTCTAACAAAATGGGGATTGGGGACAAACACACACACAAAATCTCACTTATTCCAAAATATAAAAACTGTTGCAAAGCAAACTCAGAAAAGTCCACAACACCATCAAGGTATGAAAATGAACACAGAAACAACACATCTCATAGCAGCACAGCATTCAGCCACAAATTTCAAAATATAAAAGCATAATGTCACATAAAATTTGTTTGCAAGCAAACTCATAATATTTGTTTGCAAACTCACAAAATTAACTCACAACACACTATGTATGTAAATATTGATTTTTTTTAATAAAAAAGAGCAACTTTTACCCAAAATCAGGAGAAGCAGGCAGGCAAATTGAGTTGCTCACAGAATCACAGAGTCACAGATCTACCGTTCTGCAAGCTGCTGCCTGAATCTGCACTGAAAAATAGAAGCTTCAGTCTTCAGAGTCTGGGAAGGAAGGCAACGTTCCAGCCATTCAGATCTGCTGTTAGGCCACTTCTCCTTGTAGCACTAAACTGAGCTCCTTGGCTTTTGAAATCCAACACTGAGTACTCAGAGACACCCTCTGTGCTGTTTTTTTTTTTTTTTTTAGCTCAGCTGAGGCCTGGTTTGGAGAACCAGTAGGGACTGAGGTGAGAGGTAAGAACGGGGAGGATAGGTGAGGCTAGTCAAAATTTTCCCTACCATTTCTCTGAACCAGTCAACATTTTCCCTAGAGGTTCTCCTGAAACCTCTCCAGCAACCCCTTGAATACCATCCCTGCTCCCTGGAGATTTGGGCCTTTATGCTTGCAGATTCACCGAGCTTCAAGGCAGATCAGGACAGCTCAACTGGGTCAAACGTGTGGGATGCAAACCAGGGAGCCAAATGAAAAGCAGCAGCAGCTATGCCAGGTGAGGGGATGAGATGAGGAGTGACTAGGCAGTGTGGGGGTGGGCGGCGCCAGCCAGAATTATTAGAACCGGTTCACCTGAACCAGATAGAATCCCACTACTGGCCACTGACTTGAAATAACAGTGACCTGTCAATCAAATATTTATTATTGTCAAAGACCATCATAAGGAAAGTGAAGTACAATCAATTAAAAAGCATAGAAAATACATCAAAATCATATTTGTGTATGTACATATGTATGAAAACAAAAGTCTAAAAGGTGATCTAAAAAAGAGGAATAGGAGAATTAAATGGATGTAAGAAACATAGGTTAACATGGCAGATTAAATCTATTCCAGGACAGATTAGAATAATGAACTAGATGCTCATAAAGACTAGTTTATGGCATCATCATCATCATCCATCAGATTTTAAGCACTGCTTTGCAATCCTGGGCAATATATCTGAAAGTAGGAGGGAGATGTAAACTTGTCCTATCCACTCTTGGTATTTATGTAATAATGGGGCTATCATGCTGACCTGCTGCAAATGCCTCTATTGTGGGATTCTCTCCCTGATAATTTGTAAATGCCCCCCCCCCCTTTTAAACTTTTAAACTTGCCTATGCAATGGCTGGATCTGTTCATTCTGTTTCCTTATTAATATTTATAAATGATTTGTAAATATCTAAATATGTTATTATATTATTATTTCTTTCGAATTGTTTAAAGTTAAACGTAAAATGATTAATAATTATTTCTAATTTCTATGATTGTTAATTTTTAAATTATTTTTAATTGAATCAGTTTAATTATGATTTGGTTTTTTTAAAACAAATATACAGGTGAAAGGGTGAAGAAATATACATTTATCCTTTAAAATTTACCATCCAAATAAATATTGATATTCCTAAAGGAACAAATATATGAATAATTCAATATTCAAAAATATATTGAAATTTTAAAACAATTGACATACTGATATTTAAACCCAGTAAATAATAACATGAAAAACCATGCTAGGATAGGAGAATCAATATGAATCAATAAAATAATGTTCTACTCACATACTCAATGGAGAGAGAAAATAAAGAGTAGTTAGTGTCAGGATTTGATTACAAATTGAACATAACTACATTATTTGCTTTCAGCCTAGCAAAGTCCTAGTATTTGATCAGCCCAATTCTGGGATAATTCAGCACACATATTGATTTGCCCCGGGAATTGACAGAAACCGTGTATTCACAGTGGTCAGAGTTGTTGTCAATGACTTTTCTTGTAACCCAAATATGCAGCTGGCATGCCAACTTCAGATTTTTCAAACTGCTGCAATAGTCTTCATGAATAGCAATAGCAATAGAAGTTAGACTTATATATAGCTTCACATTGCTTTACAGCCTCTCTAAGAAATTTACAGAGTCAGCATAGTGCCCCTAACAATCTGGGTCCTCGTTTTTCTGACCTTGGAAGGATGGAAGGCTGAATCAACCTTGAGCTGGTGAGAACTGAACTGCCAAATTGCTGGTAGTCAGCAGTCAGCAGAAGTAGCCTGCAGTACTGCATTCTAACCACTGCACCACCATGGCTCTACCCAAAGTCCTTCCCTTTGGGTAACTGGTTGCCACACCCCCACTTAATCTTAGAAAAATAATCTAACCAAATGCCTCCATTTCTTAACATCAAAGTTAAGTAAACCCTGAGATTTACAAGAGGAAGGATGGACACAACAGAGACAAATAGAAAACTGATTCAAATTATGCATATGAGGGGAAAAAATCTTCCTACATCCACCAATTCTTGACTTCAGCAAGGATATACAACTTCAGAATATATACATGTTGCAATATCAAAAAGAATGAGTGTGACAAAAAAAAACCCCATGATTTAATATGTTGATTTAATGTGAATTAAAATCACATGAAGTTAAAGAAACATTATTAATATATTTATTTTATAAGCATTTCATTGTTTATCTCGTTCATCAGAATTTCAAATTGCTAGAAATATGCAGAGGGGTTCAATAAATTTTATGAAAAAATGAAATATTTTAGCAATAGAATTGGTCAAAATGAAACCCTAAATTCATTTATCTTCCGAAGTGGACCAAAATCTTGTTAGGTGCCCCACTAATATTTTCCTCAAGTGCAGAGTCTGGTTTTTCCCCCCCAGATCAACAAGTACTGAACCATTGTGTTGTGATAGGAATTGACCAGCTGGCTTGTTGTTTAGCTTGATGTTCTCTGAAACAGAGTGAATGGCCAAATCACCTTGCTGGGGTTTTTTGGCCTAAAATGGAACTAGAAGTTTCCTGGTTTCTGGTCTTATGCCTTAACCACTGAATCAAATTGACTTTTTTAAGGACATATCATCCTTATTCCAAAACAGTGTATTTTGATCTTTTGAGCAGGAATCCCAGGTATTCATCATTCTAAGGTAACATTTTCACAAAATCTGGAAGTATATCTATGACACTTTGCCCACTGTTAAAGCAAACCTCATACTAAATTCTCTGCCTTTTATAGTATCATTTTAATTTTATTCAGAAATTTATAAGGCCCATGTTGTTTTTATTCACCCAACCAAGTAGTCACTCATATAAATACCCAAGAGCAAAAGACTGAATACTAACCATCCAGCTTATATGGACTGCATATGCGAAACATGATGTCTTTCTCTATGTATTTCAGAACATCATAATCTTTCAAGTAAAACATGTTGTTTGGTGCCCCGCTGATCTCTACTAGTTGTGTAACATTAGCACCAGTAATCCCAATGGAATAGATAATGACACCTTCTTTTCTTAGAGCACTGGATGGTTCTCTTACATTATCATGTGCTTCCCCATCTGTGAGGAGGATAAGAATTTTGTTGACAGAAGGCCGTGCTCTTTTTGCTGGTTTGAAATAATCAGAAACAAATTGCAGAGCTTTTCCAGTATAAGTGTTCTGTTACATTTGAGTCATGTTCCCAATAGCGTTAATAATGTAATCTTTTGATGAGTTGAGTTGGAACTCTTCTTTATTGGTGCTACTGAACTGTACAACACCGAATTGCACTTCATTTAGACCAACACTACACTTATCTACCAATTCTTGCATGAACTTCTTCATCTTCTCAAAATCTTGATGGCTTATACTTCCAGAGCTGTCTACTAAGAACATGACATCAGCTTTCATTTTCTCACAGGCTACAGAAAAAGAATAACTATTAAACCACTGAATTTCTATGAATCTAGAAGAAAAGAAAAGCAAGTTTCAGAAACATTGCTTCTTATTTACTCCTAACCAGATAAGTCCTGAAATCCACATCAGAAGCTTTGTTTACATGAAAATCTGCTTTTTAATTATACCCAATACACCCAAATATGGAATGAAATGGATTTCTTAGTATGTTTGAAGCATATTTCATTATATTTTCAGTTAAAATATTTTAGATAACTTCAGTCCTTTTCATTCTTATATTTCTACAGCTATCTTGTAATATTATTTGATCATGTCAGGAATGCCTATTTTAGCATTGGTGCTATTGTATATTGATATAGATGTAATCTCTTGAATTATCTTCCTCACAAATACAATCATCCCAGTTTCTTGCAATGCTGCAGAAATGATTTGCATTGCTTTCTTTTGAGAAATATTTACAACAGCAAATCAATTAATCAAAGTGGAATGCCGGAGAATGCCATCCTCAGTCACCCCAAAGAGTCAGTTCAAACCTTTTCAAAAATGTGTAATATAAACATAATGTTTATGTTATAAACATAACATAAAACAAAAAGGCTTCAAAGATTTTCTGTCTGGGTTTATAACACTAAATTAATATCAGCTGCCAGACTATAAATTACAATGGGGCTAATTTATCCTCAGCACTTATGTTCCCTTTGCAATCAGTCATTGAAAGTTCAAAATACTGAAATCAACAAAAGTTTATCCAGTTAAAACAAGAGTATTTTATAGCTATTATAGTTTATTTTTTCTATATGATCTTCCTATTTCAGAATTCAACTGGGGAAAGGTAAAACAGTAGTGTATTTGGAGGGGAAGAAAGCCTCTAACTTCACAAATGCAGTGTCTTTTAACAAGTCTGGACCCCTGCAGTTCAAGTGCTCAACAGAAAATATCTCTATACTATCTATAGAGTTAACATCATTTACAACATATAGTAAGCCATTACGTAGGGCAAACAAGCAGAAGACTAGCAGAGTGCATTCATGAACATCAACTAGCAGGCAGAAAACACAATGAAAATTCCTTCATTTCACAATGGACAGACTCAACAATACAGTTTCAACAACATAGGACAAACTATGAAATAGTTTACACTCACTAGTACTGATGATGTTACCTAATCATGTCATGTCTGCAAGCAAACAATCAAGTTTAGAAAGCATCAAGGACTCTATATAACATAACATAACATATTTTATTTAAAGGATTAGTGGATGCTTCTTACCTTTTTCAGAGCATATGTCTCGAACAATTTCATTTTTTATATTTTTCAAGGAGTCAAACTGTTCCACATAGTAAACCTTTGATTCTGAGTCTGCAATCTCATTTAACTGTGTGATATTAGCAGATTTCACACCAATAGCATAAATATTGACTGCTGATTTTCTTAGCATTTTAGAAGGTTCCAGCACATTATCATGTGCTTTTCCATCTGTCAGTACAATGAGATAACAAGGGACTTTGCCACCTCACTGTTTTTTTGCCTTTTCAAATAATGGCTGCATAGACCATATAGCAGCTCCAGTATATGTGTCTACTCCCATTTGGATTATATTATTAATGGCTTTTTCTAAATGGCTGATTTTCATATACTTATCAAGTTCAAATTCTGTTTGATAAAGAGTTCCAAACTGAACAACTCCAAATCGAACATGATCAGGTCCTATGGTAAATAGCTTAATTACTTCCTTTAGGAATGTCTTCATCTTAATAAAATTTGAGGGACTGATGCTTGATGAACCATCAATGAGAAAATAAATATCAGCCTTTTCTGTTTCCATACATCCTGAACAAATAAACAAATTTAAGACAGATCAGAGGCAGGTAAATAACTTATTCTCCTCTACAAACATTAATTGAAATCCTGCATTGAGGAAGGAATTGTGTCTCTGAAAAATAGTTTTCCTCAGTCTCCAAATTTTGTACATAGTCCAGAAGGATATATTCAATGACATCAAAAGCTGCTGTGAAATATAATAGGATCAGGTGGCATGCATTCTTCCTCTCAAATCACTTGGTCAAACACATTACAGACCCCTGAATGAACCAGGAAAGGCATGAGTCAACCATAAGTGGTAGAGATCATATGAGAGAACACCCTATCAACTGCATTGGAATTTGCAGAAGGAATTCCAGAGAATGTAGTTAAGTGATATCTCTGAAGGATATGAGCATTATTGTTAAGTTATCAAGTAGAACTTCTGACTTGGATTTCATACTACTGGCATTATTTATTCATTTATTATTGCTTTTGAATCCCATTGCAATCAAAAAACATTTTTGATGATTTACAATTCAATAATGCACAATTAAAAATTAAAAGCAAAACTAAAAATAATTTAAATGAAAATATATTCCATCGAGATAATCAATAGCAGATAATAAAAATAAAAGTTGGAGTGCTGAAAGAGTGACTGGCCCAAAATCACCCAGTTCAAGATGAGACTTGAACTTCCACTTTCTAGCCTGGTGCTTTAAACAAACTGGCTCTCAAAATTTATTTATATTTTAGTTACCCAACTGCAATGGACATTGATTTGTCAGAATGTGTCAGAAACATGAGAGAAAAGGCAAGGTTGATAGAGTTGGGTTGTTTAAAAACAAGACAAAGCAAAACAAGCATTCAAATACTTTCAGCTTATTTAACTAGGTGACATGCATTTCATCAATGACATTACCTGATCGGAACTCTTCTGTTCTTTCAGCTTCGTCAAAAAACATATGAATATGTTTGAATAGTTTCTTCTCAAAAATTTTAGACTTATCTGCCAGATTTGAAAAATGGTCAACTTTTATAATATTTCTATTTGGGGGATAGGATACTACTCCACCTAACTGTGTGATATTAGCCCCTTCACTGCTTATGGCAAATACTGTCACACCCTTCTGCAAAAGGAGACTTGATGCTTCAGTTACACTATCCTCAGAGGGTCTGTGGGCGATGAGGGTAGCTATTTGTTCCACACCTTCTGTCCTTCTGCTTCCAGCACTTTCAGTAAAAAATATTTCTCTAGTAAAGTTTAAGGCAGCACCTAATTTAGCTTTTCCTTCCCTGGGAGAAAAGCTCTTGATTTTAAATATAAGATCTTTTATCTCTGTTTCTGTGTTCAGTTGAGAAAGTACACGAGGCTCATTGCTGTATGTCACAAGACCAATTCTGATGCAGCTTTTCTGCACATCAAGAGAGGTTGTTATGTTTTGTAAGAAAGATACAATATATTCACTATTTGTAGGTGAAACAGCTTCATCCACCACAAATACAACATCTGCAATTAAATCATCAGAACAATCCACAACTGCAATAAAAAAAGAACACACATTATTAATTCTCTTTTCTTAACAGTTTCTTTCCTTTTTGCAGGCTTTCTACTTGGCGTTTGCCAGAGTCTCTCATCAATATATTAAAAATTCTTTTTAATTTAAAATAATGCTAGCAAAGCATATTTTAACCAGGAAATTCCCATAGGTTATTTGAACACAAATAAGAGGGGGCCAAATTATTCTATAAAGCACCAGAGGGCAGGACAAGAAACAATGGTTGGAAACTAACCATAGAGAGAAGCACCCTGGAATTAAGGAAAAACTTCCTTAACAGTGGGGACAATTAACCATGGAAACAGCTTGCCTCCAAAAATCATGGGTGCTTCATCACTGGTGGTTTTTAAGAAGACACTAGACACTTATCCAAAATAGTATAGGTTCTCCTGCTTGAGCAGGGGGCTGGACTAGAAGACCTCCAAGGTCCCTTCTATTCTATTCTATTCTATTCTATTCTATTCTATTCTATTCTATTCTATTCTATTCACATTAGAAAATAAAAATTTGGAGTATCTGTAGTCCAATTCTTTGTCTTTAGACGTGAACCATAAAACAAAACAAAGATGATAGAAAATATTTCTGAGCAACTAAACTACCTTCCACAAATGTACTTTTAGAAAAGTGACCAGACATATCCATTATAGTAGTTTTCTTGCACCAAACCTCCCACAGCAGTTATTTTATAAAAACATTTACAACATAGTCTCACATTCCTTAATTTTCCCCCAAGTGGTGGGATTCAAAAATTTGTTACTACCGGTTCTGTGGGTGTAGCTTGGTGGCATGGCAGGGGAAGGATACTGCAAAATCCCCATTCCCTCCCCACTACTGGGGAAAGGTTACTGCAAAATCACATTCCCTCCCCACCTCACTAACCTGCTTTCCAGCTCCATTCTCCTGTGCAGGGCACAGCTGGGACTCGGGAGGCAGAAAATAGATGGGGGGGGGGAAACAGTCAGAGGTGGTATTTGCCAGTTCTCCAAACTACTCAAAATTTCCACTACCGGTTCTCCAGAACTGCTCAGAACCTGTTGAATACCACCTCTGCCCCTAAGAGTGGGCTATCCCAGGAAAATAATGTGTTCCTAAGGATTGCCTACTCTTGATCAGGACTGAAGTGAAAAGTAGGATATGAGTTTTAAAAAAGCCTCTAAGGATCCTTGAGAAAGTGCTAGAAAAAGTGCAGGTAGGAGCTGAGGGAAGGATAATACAGTGAAATTGGATGAGGGATGTGTAAATGAAAATAATGGAGAAAAATCAAATTCCTGATACTGTAACTCCTAATGAAAAAAGTAGTTTTATTCATTGAGAAATGAATAATATCATGCAACTCATTTATCACTTGAGAGAAGGGAACCATCCTAAGGGAGATTTTTGTGACTATGATGCACGTGAAAAAAATTAATTGACCTGCCCTGGACCATGACTATTCATAAAGTGATCCTTCTGCAAAATGTACATGTTGGGTTTATTGAAAGCATTATCACAATTAAGAAAATATAATTGTTTAAAGATTCTCTCTTCCCTCCTATTGGAAAGATTAAATTTAGAGGAAGAAGTTCAGTATTAGAAAAGAAAGAAAATCTTCCTCTGTAGGCCCTTCAATGTGTACCTTACTACATCTCCATTCTGTTCTGGAGATTTATCTAGGAATCATGGATCCTAGATACCTGCAATGGCAAGTAATTTACTCAATTGCTGGATCTCCCCTAAGGAAATGAAAGGAGAAAAAAGCATCCTGCCCTCCCAATTATAACATTATAGGAGCTTCAATTCCAGAATGGCATGAGATGAATAATTCATTTGTGCTATGTACCAGTGTTTCTCAGACTGGCTGGAGAATTCTAGGAATGGAAGTCAACCACTTGGCTTCTCCAAAATTGTGCTTCTCCAACACTGCAGGCAATTCTCTCAAGTGATAAATGAGTTGCATGATATTATTCATTTCTCAATGAATAAAACTACTTTTTTCATTAGGAGTTACAATTTGGCAAAAAACTAGTACATTGTAATCTATATATTACATGTGTTCTCAAATATTTCATACAATATAGCAGCTGTTCAACCGGACATGCATGAATAAAATATGAAATAAAATTCTAAGTAGGTTTTGGAGAACTACGATTTTGCTTATACAAGCCCAGTCATGTTTTTTTTTTCTCTTTAAGTAGTAATTGCTCCAGGATGCTCTAACTGATATTTTAAAAACCCTGTCCTAAACCCTCATGGTTAATCTAATAATATTTGTGATAATGTACTGCATCATTGCTTTTACCTTTTATGGGCATGCTATGAGCATAAATTGTACTTGGTGGGGTAGCTGTGGAGAAGACTAAATTCTCATCTATTGCTATAGTTGATTCAATAACAGACAATATATTTGAGGAAAACTTTTGGAGATCTTTTAGTGTATCAAAATGGTAACTGAATGGATGTGTGGCCATTGACTTCAGCTCTTGCTCAGATGCATTCAGCATTCCTAAAGCAATTATTTTTACCCCATCTTCTCTCATTAATGTAGCAGGTCCTTCCACGTCATCTTGTGATACCCCTGAAGTGGTAATAATCAAAACCTGGTGTCTGTCTCTTCTTAGTGCCTTGAAAATAGTCTTGTGGATCTTTTGTATGGCATTCCCAGTCCTTAAAGACCCACCCTGGAATGAAAATCTCTTTTTAACATGGTTCAGCATAGGGTTTTTTCCTTTGAAGTCATCCAGCTGGAATTCAACATGGATATCATCACTGTATTGGATAAGTGCAAGGCGATATTTATTTGGCCCTATTGGAAGATTGTTGATCATTCTATTCACATAATTTTTTAATGAGAGAAAACCTTGTCTGCCGAAGGTATTAGAGCTGTCAATCAGAAGGACAACATCTACAGACTCAGAGGCTACAGCAAAAACAAAACAAGAGTTAATATATAAAACATTATAAACGGGTTTGAATATTAGTAGCTCGGGTTGGTAGTTAGGCTGTTGGTTAGGCTCTGAGCTTGGCAATTTGATTGCAAACATTTTGTCAATATGTGAGGAGACATCATCAGTGCCTTTTTGAATTGTGCTTGTCTGTCAGAACACTGGCCTTTAAATATCTTTTTATGAGATGCAAATTAGCCTGAGTGTTGTTTGTTTTGATATTTCTGAGCATGGTTTGAATCAAACAATCTAAAATCAGACCACGGTTCAGAAATATCTGAACAAACAACATTCAGACTAATTTGCATCTCATAAAAATATTTAAAGACCTGTGTTCTGACAAATGAGCACAATTCAAAACACATTGCTGATGTCTCATTGAATGATGATGAAACATTTACAACCAAATTGGCTTGGAGCTCAAACCAACAGCCTAATTATTGTAAACTGCACAGGTACAATTAAAGAGTGCAGTATAAACATTTTTATAAATCCTCGTACATAATCCATCATGCTCCCATCCTCACAGTTTGGCCCAATTTACCTAATATACAACTGAGGCTTCTTTGTTTTTATACTTGCCTAAATTTTTTCTCACTCAAAATCAAACATGCATTTTGATAAAGAAAATAACAATGTCAAAGTCATTCAATGTTTTAACAATATTTTTAATTTTTAACATTCTAACACCCACCCATCTGCTGCAAAAAACTGTGCCATTTAATCGACTAATAGGAATACAGGACAAGCTGCATTAGCAAGTTGTGATGAATTTCCAAAAGAAAAATAAAATACCAGGTTGCTGTGTTTTAGAAGCCTGGGTCCCAAGTATAACAAGGAGCAAAGTCAGAAACATTTTCAGATTGTGATAGTTGATCAATGAATAAATCTAGAAATACAAATAAGAACAAAGTAACAACATCATGTTACTGACAATGTATGCTGATGTTGTTGACAACATCAATAATAATATCTTATATTTTCAAATTAATTGTTTCCTTCAGCTGATCAAAGCCTTTGTATATTGGTCCCTAGCATGATGCCTGCTAGATTGGATGTCAATTGTTAGTCTCCTCAACCGATATGACCAATAATTCTAAAGCATCTAGGATGAATAAGCCCACCTTTGAAAAGCATTGCATTGTAAATTAGCTGTCAATGTCTCTTCCTTTGCTGGCCAAACTTGGAATGGTGACATAAGCTTTAATAGTAACTACATTGTTGATAGCCTGTCTCACTTTCAAAATCAAAGAGTATATTTAATTTCATTTTTATACCTTGGTCAGTCCCTGATATTACAACAGGAATGGAATGCCATTTGGCAGGCAGAACTTAGTACAATAAGCTCCCAAGAAGCTGATTGGTGAACATCTTAGAATGCAAGCTAGTTCCCATTAACATGGGATCAAAACAGCCATTCTAGGCAACCCTAGTGATATGATCTTCACTAGTGGCAATTGTTTGGCTTCTTTAACAATAAACTCTCAGATCATCTGCAGCAGGTGGACAAAATGTGCAATATGATAAGTGCAGCATCATGCACCTGCTATCTTGTACATTTTGACCATCTCTTCCCCCCTCCCCCAATAAAAAAGCCATATACAATATACTTCTGTAAACCAGAAACTTATTTTGGAATTTTGCATGAATTACATAACCCAACTGCCATATAGTCCAATGTAGTGAAAATAAGGCTTTGAAGTGTCCAAAACTAACTATGCAATTCTTTTGTTCCTGAACAATATCTGCATCCCTTTTAAAGATTTTCCAATTTTAATAAATCAGAAATATAATAAATCTTTCCAACAAATAGAACAATAAAATGAGCTTTAGAAAAATGTAATTTAATCTCTTTTCTTGAAGAGCTTATTATTTTAATTGGGTTTCTGGGGAAAAAAGGCATTTGAAAATATGGCAGCAATTAGGCGACACTGTTCAGTGAAATATTTGTGGTCTACTGGATAAAAGATTTGACAATCTCTTAAGAGTATAAAATTCATTACAACTCTTTTGATTATAGTAACAGTAGTTATAAAACAAAACTTCTCCCTTTTACACTTTATGGAAATTTGTCTTTAGCAGTAATGGTCTCTACTTCATCTATTTGAAAGCCTTACCAAGATACTAAATTAAACATGTCAAGTGTCATGAAAGGATAATTCATCCCTAATGATTTCCTATTGCAAGTGAATGGGAGAGGCACTAATAAGGTAATAAAGCATTAAAAATTCAATGCAGAGAAAAGTTAAGTCTTGCACTTAGGCAAGAAAAACCATAAGTGCACAAATAGACTGGGTGATAGCAGACTTAATAGCAGTAACTGTGAGATGGATCTGGGAATCTTAGTGGACAACCAATTAAATATGAGCCAACGGTATGCAGTGGCAGCCAAAAAAGCCAATGCAATCCTAAATTGCATTAACAGAGGGATACAATCAAGATCAAGTGTGGTACTAACACCTCTCTGTAAAGCCTTAGTAAGACCATACCTAGAATACTGCATCCGGTTTTGGTCATCATAAAATTAAAAAAAAGTTGAGACTATAGAAAGAGTGCAGAGAAGAGCAACTAGGATGATTAGGAGACTGGAGACTAAAGGATATGAAGAATGGTTACAGGAACTGAGCATGGCTCGTCTAGTGAAGAGAAGGACCAGATACAGACACATGATAGCAGTGTTCCAATATTTGAGGGGCTGTCACAGAGAGGTGGGAGGGTCAATCTGTTTTCCAAAGCACCTAAAGGCCAGACAAGGAATAATGGATGGAAACTGATCAAGGAGAGAATCAAACTAGAAATAAGGAGGAATATTCTGACAATGAGAACAATCAACCAATGAAAAAGCTTGCCTTCAGAAGTTGTGGGAGCTTTATTACTGAAAGCTTTCAAGAAGAGACTGGACTGCCATCTTTCAGAAATGGTGTAGGATCTTCTGCTTGGGTGGGGGGATTGGATTAGATGACATACAAGGTCCCTTCCAACTCTGTTAATCTGAATCCGGTCAAAATGTTTTCCTGACTCAGGATTGTGACCAAGGTTTTCTGCCTCATGGGTAAAAGTAGCATTACCAGTACAGAGTACTAAATGTCTTGATTACAGAAGGACAGGAACTTCAATTTGCTGCTCTTTTACAGCCGGTCTTGAACTACCAACATTTTCCCTTTCCTCTATATGTAAAAAAAATATGGGGGACATCTTTTTTCATAAAAGGGTTGATCCTTTTCTTTTCATATTATTTTATCAGGACTATAAGCGTATTCTACTGATTGTAGTTTGCGAGTTATCACTACTTTTGTCACTCATTGTTTTAACCTTATGGATTATAATTAATCGATTACTTTACCATGCTTAGAATAAAAAACTGGATAGAATTTAGGAAAACTGAGCTTTCTCACTAGTCCCATCTTCAAAAGCCAAAGAAGAAGTTTATTTATGGCAATATAGGAGAAATAGAACTTCTCCTACAATTTAAATCAATAAAGCATGTCACCTATTTCCTTCAGTCTTGCCATACTTAAACTCTATTTATCCTAACATTCTTTTGACCTAGCTAATCTATCATATTCCTTCCTCCTCCTTCAAAAACTATATATCAAGCAGGCATTTTACACAAGCATATTTATTTTAGTTTGAAAGTCATCTATAATTGTTCCCTTTAGAATCATTTTTGTTCCCTTTAGAATCAAAGTGTGGTCTCCTGCACATGTGTGACTTTTCTTATATAGCAGAAATTAGATTTTCTTTGAAGCTGAAAGCCAATAGCAAAATCCAATATCCATTCTGTTGCAACAAAAATTTGAGTGGCTGTGGACAAGTCACAAATGTTCATATAAACCACATTCTTTCTGCTATTGCTTTTTAACATAAAAAGAGCATATTGCCTGCTGTTTGTGTTGTGATGATATATCTCCAGTTACTTCTGCATTTCTGAAGCTTTAAAAATTCAGAGCTGAAAACCTTACTGAGCTTTCTAATGACTTTTTACCTAGGCAGAAGCAGTTTGGGGGGAAGATCCCTACTGTGCAAGTAGATTGTTGAATGATGAGAAACTGTAGCCTATGGCATGTTTTTAATTTTTCTTTGTCAACTCCCTTTGTTTTTATTTCCCCCATCTCCCCCTAGGATAAAGACATTTATTTCATATCCAGTTCTTTAAAATCTATTAAAAATCATTATGTGTTGTCCATAATTCATTTTAACATCTTTTGTATTCAACTTTCACAAATGTAATTTTTAATTAATATATCTCTGAAGAAATATTTTTTCAAAAAGAAATCAATCTCTTCAATCCAAACAAATATTTTGATGAATTTTACAAATTTACTACCACAAAACACCACTATAGAAATTTTACTCTCTTCTTTATAGCAGCGAGATGTTTTTATCAAATAATCATCCCAAAAATCCAAAAAGCATTGTAGTGTGCTGCAGTGTACTTTCCACAGCAGTTTTGGAGGGCCAATACAAAAAAATAATAATGTGCTGAGATTGTGCCCCTGTGGACAAGGGACTATTGAAACTGTAGCTAATCAACAACTTATTCACTAATAAGTTGGGAGATGGCTTTTGGATTACAATAGTAATGAAAAAAGTCATTGGACCTGAAGAAAGGCAAATTGCAGAAGAGACATATTTGTATAATTCAAGGCTTTAGGTATCTGGCTAGGCTACCTAGCTATGATGGTGCTGAATGAAAAATAGTTTTGATAGGTTCTTATAGCCATTGCAACATCCCCGTAGTCATCTGATCTTCATTTTTTTTTTACATTCTCTGTCAGTTTCCTCACAAGCAAAGTCAAGGGGAAGCCAGCAAGAAGTCAAAACTCACAGTCAGATAAAGTCTTCACTTGAGCCCTGGTGACACCATGGTTAGAATACAGTATTGCAGGTTGACTCTATCCATTGCCTGGAGTTCTATCCTGACTGGCTCAGGGTTAACTCAGTCTCCCATCCTTCCAAGGTCAGTAAAATGAAAACCCAGATAGTTGGGGGCAATATGCTGATATTGTAAATCGCATAGTGGGCGGTATATAAGTCTAAGTGCTATTGCTAATGACCTGCACAATTTTTGCTTAAAAACAGCAACAAGAATTGCCAGGATTATCATTGCTAATAATTTCAAGTGAAATAAAAATAGTGTAGCTTTATGGCCTAGTCCAACCAAAGGTGTGATTTATTATTTTTATTTCTCCTGGTTTCATATTCTTAAGTAAATGTGGTTGGTTCTGAACTTATTTCTTAAAAGACATGAGCTCTAAGAGCAAACATAGATGAAGCAAAGAGAAGCAAAAAGGAGTGAAGCAAAGAGAAAAGAAATACCAACTACATTGGAATATTATGCATATTTCTACTTGCCCCAATTCCAGAAGCATATCATAAAGCTGGAAAAGACAGGAAACAGCAATCTGAATGATCAAGCAATCAAGTTCTTTCCCCTTCAAAGGAAAAAAGAAGAAAAATTTCTGAATCTTCTTAATTAGGAAGAAAAAAGATAATCAAATAAACTTATCTAAAATTAAGCATATGCCATTAAGTGGAGAGAAGCAACAACACTTGG